TTCGATGAGTTGAAACAATTGAGGAGTTAGCACGCCTTTCAATTTGCAGAGGAGTCCATCATGCCACACTCTATCAAAAGCTTGTTTAATATCCATAAACACAGCCACTGAGTACATCTTTTGCTCCATGGCTTACAGGGCGAAGTTGACCACACGGTGGAGCTGTTCCGTAGTTCCGTGACTTCTTCGAAATCCAAATTGCCATTTTGGAATTCTGCGCGTCACGGCTTCGAGCTGGAGAATCCGGTCCAGAATCACGCGATCCATCATCTTCCCGAGGGCAGGTAGCAGACTAATCGGCCTGTATCCATCTCCTTCAGTATGCCGTTTCTCTGGCTTTGGAATCATCGTAATTAGCGCCGTTTTCCAGCTGTGTGTCTCAGCCTCTGTATGTTATTCATAAGCAAAACAATATACAGCAGAGCCCTTGTAGGGAGCAGTTTCAGCGTCCTGTTGTCTAAAAGGTCTTCTCCAGGCGCTTTTTTTACCTTTAGATTTTTTATGTGCTGTACCACTTCTTGCAGAGTAACTGGGCTTGCAGGCAAGGCCATTTGGAATGGCATCTCCAGCCTAAGCTCGACTACCCTTCGCCTATCTGCAGTTGTAAGGTGAAAAGGCTTTAATCTTTCCTCTAGGCTGTTTGCAAAGATTTCAGCTTTCTGCTGATTGGAATAGCTCCATCCACCTGTAGGATCCTTAATTGGAGACTTAGGGATGACCAGCCTCTTAAGCTTCCAGAGCGAGTAATTAAATGATGCATCTGGACCAGCACTTTCCAATATGTCATCAATTCTGCCTTGTCTGATTTTAGCAAGCTCTTTTTGCAGTCGATTGGACAGTCTTTTGTAGATTTGGTGAATGCGAATATCTCCCGTTCTTGCATATTCTTGGTGTAGACTAGCTTGACTATGTTGGGTTGGCAAGCGTACAGTTTTCGGCGCAGCATAAGACGCAGCCAGTGAAATGTTCTTCATAAGGATTGATATCGCGTCTTCGATATCCTCTGGGCTGCTAATTTCGACGTTCAAGTTAATTCTTCTTTCAAGATCGGCTTGAAAAACATCAATACGGGAGCCAGGTGGTAGAATATATTCCCTCTTGTGATTATAGCGTCGCTACTACTGGTAGGTGATCCGATGCGAGCTCATATTTTGTTTCAACGGTGAGTCTGTTTAGGGCAACCCTGTTGACAATAAAAAAGTCCAGTGCAGAGGGGGTAAGCCGTGTGTTGTAAGATTATAAAGCTGGCTCTCCAGTAGCAATATCGTGGCAAGTAGTACTTGCTATGGCCTCCTGCAAGATCTGGAATTACCCCACCATTGGTGTTTTGCATTAAAATCACCGCCTGCAATGAACTTATCTCCTAAGGTTGCAAGCAATAGATCAAAGTCGGCTCTGCACCAAGCTTCATTGGGAGGAAGATATAGGGAGGAGACTTTGATGCTTCCACCATTCGTCGGTATAGTTACGCTGGCCGCTTGGATGTTTGTTTTTAGAATTGGCTCATTCTGTGAATGAGCGATACTTAATCTAATGATGACAGCAGAGGCACTTTTAGCGGCGCCACTGGGGTGATTAGCGTAGTACTGGTCGTATCCTGGCAAATATGCGTTCAAGCCAGGACGCATGTGCGTTCCGGTTATTAACATGATATCGATCGAGTTTGAACTTAGGAAAAGCCTGAGTTCATCATTGTTTTTGACCAGGCCCCATGCGTTCCATAATCCGATTTTTAACAGCGGATTTAACATTTGGATATTAGTTTTTGTACCAAGTCACGGAAGGCTCTATTGGAATCCATATTTTCCTGAATGAGCTTATACATTTGATCCATTCTTGCGTTTAGATCAAAAATCGCCTTTTCCAGCATACTAAATTTATTGTTTAGATGCCGATCTTCGGCGGAAATGTGTGACCTGCTGCATCAGCGTAAGAGAAGCTACTCTTACCAGTAGAGTTTGAGATGAACTGTACTTTATTGCCTTGGTTATTTGGGTAACTCCTATTGCTACCGATAACTAGTCCATCTCTCGGTAACCGCACAGCTGGCTTAAGTTTTTTGCTTAGATCAACTCTTACCTTGCAGCCTCTGAAGCTCGACATGTGGTCTTCGCCGCAATTAGCGCATATAAATGTTCCATTATCATTCAGTTTACATGATTTTGAACCAGTATCATGGTTCCCTGAGCATTTACCGCAAACCGGCTTTTTAAGGCAATAGTTTCTCGTGTGCCCGAAATCTTGGTTGTGATTTATTGAGTTCATAAATTTTAACGACTTGTATATTTATAAATAATATCTGAAGCTTCTTAAATTCAAAAAATTATAATTTTTAATATTACAGTTTCGAAAAAAAAAATCAAATTTTCATAAATGTTGCTGGACAAACGTATTTTGACAATTCACTGTTGTTTAGTTTAATGAGAGAAAAAGTACGTTTTGGTGATAATAACAATATTATTAATAAAAAGTAATTGGCATCAATGACCTTTTGTAAACGTACAGGAATTGATTTTACCAAATTTTGCAATGTTTCCAATGAAATATCCTCCCAAAATCCTTGAACCTCAGCATTCGTATCCTCGCGCGTTCTTGTTAAATCTGAACTTCGTTTTCTCTTAATGTAAGCCCATACATTCTCTATTATATTAAGATCGGAGCTTTGAGGTGGCCAATCTAAAGTATTTACATCGACATTCCTTAAAAACTCAGTTATTAAGTGGGCCTTGTGGCATGGAGCGTTGTCCTGCTGCAGTATAAATGATTGACCAATGAGACGGTCACCGGAAGTGAATGCGTGGTCATTCAGGACACGTAAATAGTTGTCCTTGTTCATGGTGCCATCAATTGGAATCAAATCGCCAAGGCCATTGAAACAAACGCAACCCCTGAACATTACTGATCCTCCACCATGTGATACCCGTTCGCACACAGGCCTCATTTTTTTTCGAGCATTCTTTGGGAACCTGCAATAAATCTTCTTCGATCCATGATACTCAAAGGAGCTTTCATCTGTCCACAAAACATTTTCCCAAAACGATTGCTACTTGTTTATATAGGATTTGGCGAATGCTAACCTTTTTAGCTTATTTTTTGGTGAAATTAAAGGGATTGGACGGGCTATACAAGTAATAAAATCGGCCTCCCTTAGCCGTCTTTCGACTGTTTTTCTACTTATTTCTATTTTATAGTGCTCTTTGAGCTCAATTGACACTGCTTTTGATTCTGATTACACCAATGTAATCAGCACATTTTCTTTAAATTTCCTCAAGATTATGCGGTCTTCTATAGGCTCTGTTTTCCTTGGTCTTCCCGATCTGGCCTTATTTTTGAGTGAATCATTCTTCTTTTTTTTTTTGTTTATTTGATAATAAATTGTTTGTTTAGGTGCGTTGTATAATTTGCTAAGATATAGTATTCTACAGAAATACCTGCATTACATTTAGTGACCATTTCATTTCTTATAAGTTCACTTATTTCGCGTGTTTTACCCATAATTTACAAAAAAAAATGCAATCAATAAGTGATTGTTATTAATATAGACTAGAATCAACGAAAATTAATATAAAATGCAATGTCAAAATACTTTTGTGCAGCCAAAGAATCATAATTTGCTACGCAAATAATTATAGAAAAATAATGCATTACGTTATCAGTGCAATATTTTGCTCTCTTGAAGCTTTTATTGTCGTCTCTCTCTTAAAAATTGAATGGATACCGTTACTTCTCTTAGTTTGCAGAAATAGGCGGTTTTACATTTTATAATGTGTTGTCAAAATACTTTTGTCCACTGTTGTATACTCTAAATGAGTTAAAAATGTGGAGTGCTCGTTTAAAACTATCCACCAAGGCTACTTTGGTGTCAAGGCTAAACGCGATTCCAACTCCTGAGAGTGGAACTAAGCCGGTTACTGTCCCCAAAGAAAGTGATGACATTCCGTCAGAAACTGACATCGAGGTGGAACACAACGATTTCATACTTAACAAGAGAGAACGCTACAGTCGAGCAAGCCCGACAGTGTAATACTCTGTACCCAGGTAAACTTCCGTCACTGAGTTATATGCGCCCATAGCAGCAGCAAAAAGAGGAAGAAGAAGAGCGAACTTGTTTCTGCAGTTTGTGGAGTTGTACTGGCGAGAATTTGTTTCGCTAATAACTTTTCTTAGAATTCACCGAATTGAATTAAACAACAATAGATAATTATAAATAAATTATGTGTGCAAAGTTTGGTTTAGGTAGCATTTGAAATGTGGACGCTATTGACAAAATTCTGTAGCGGGGGAAGGGGGGGACCTAGGAGAATCTGGATGCCAACTTTGGTTATTCTAGCTTTTATAGTTTCTGAGATCCTTGCGTTCAGCCAGACGGACGGACGGACATGTCTAGATCGATTTCTCTAGTCATGCTGATTCAGAATATATATACTTTATGGGGTCGGAGATGCTTCCTTCTGCATGTTACATACTTTGCACAAACCTAATATACCCTTTTTACCCTACGGGTACGAGGTATAAAAACAGCGCAGAGCCAAAACTTGGAAAATGCGAGAACAATGCTGACGCCACACAAACGTACAGCGGTCCGTCGGACACAATCGACAATGGAATCTTCGCCGCACCCAAATGTGTGCCAGAAAAGGATGGTGATATTAACCGTTGCAGCTTTGAAGAAATTTCCCGAAAGAAGGAATTGGCAACTGAAGACACTACAAAGCAAATAGAAAACATGTCGTTGAAATTCAAAACCAACATAGAGTTAAACAGTGGCAACGTTATGCAAGATGCTGGCAACTCTCTGCATATCGATAACACAAATGCAGTGTTGTGCAATGACAGCCGTAGCCTCTCAGCTTTTCCTTCTGTTGAAAACATCACAGAACTGAAATCCTCGATACAAAAACTACAATGTGAAAACGAAAAACTTCGTAACAACAATCCTGACATTCCTTTCAATGTTCTCAAGGAATGTGTGCCTGAATATACTGAATACTGAATATACTACTCATGGGCAGTATTGATGATATCCTCATGATGATATCGCCGCAAATTTGAAACGCGTAAGTGGCATTATGTTTGCAGTATATTACCACGATAAGCTGGCCTTGGCTGCTCATCTCAACATCACCGAAGACGAGTTGGTGCAGTACCTCATCGACGGTATTCCAGACCAACAGTTGCGCAACCAAGGAATGCTACAATATTTCGCGTCCACTGATAATTGAGTCTTCTAGCTCCGTCTTTTTTTCGGCAACTAACTTCCTGTGTACGCTTAACATACATAATCCTTTAAAAAACAGATATAAATATATTTAAAGGGCTATTCCATTTAATTTATCTCATTTCAATTACCATTTAAGCGAGATTCGGTCATTGTAGTTCGAAGCCATGTTTTGACTCTTCTCTGCGTGCTAAACGACCGTTCGACCGTGGCCGTTGTGCATAGCATAGCGAGCACAATTGTGAATGCCTGTCTGATTTTTGGATAAAACTCAGATTTTTCGTAGGCACCCACCAAATCTACATCTGTTAACTTTTGGCAAGCATTAAACCATAATTCAAGCTCATGCTCTATGCCTTTTATGCCGTAAAAAACTGTAGCACAATCTATTTTCGCTTTTGCTTCGTCTAAAGATAATTTTTTAATTAGTTTTGGGTGCAAAGTAGTTAAAAACAAGAGAGAACGCTACAGTCGAGCATGCCCGACAGTGTAATACCCTGTACCCAGGTAAACTTCCGTCACTGAGTTATATGCGCCCATAGCAGCAGCAAAAAGAGGAAGAAGAAGAGTGAACTTGTTGCTGCAGTTTGTGGGGGTTGTACTGGCGAGAATTTGTTTCGCTAATAACTTTTCTTAGAATTGATCGAATTGAATAAAATTAAACAACAGTAGACAATTATATATAAATTATGTGTGCGAAGTTTGGTTTAGGTAGCATTTGAAATGTGGACGCTATTGACGAAATTCTGTAGCGGGGGAAGGGGGGGAAAATTAAAAAAAAAAAAATAAACTCGTCCTTACTCGGATCTAGGAGAATCTGGATGCCAACTTTGGTTATTCTAGCTTTTATAGTTTCTGAGATCCTCGCGTTCATCCAGACGGACGGACGGACAGACGGACGGACATGTCTAGATCGATTTCTCTCGTCATGCTGATCAAGAATATATATACTTTATGGGGTCGGAGATGCTTCCTTCTGTATGTTACATACTTTGCACAAACCTAATATACCCTTTTTACCCTACGGGTACAGGGTATACAAAGCGGGATTATTTTCTTCTGAAAATCTTTGCGAAATCGAGGATATTAAGGAATCAAGGTACGGGACAAAAATGGCTCTCTGGTAAAACAGAAGCACTGATGTAAATGGTGGATTTGGTCTATTTTTTTGCTTTTGTACTATCCTTGGAGTAGTTATTTCAACTGATGCGTCATTTTCCAACTCATTGAAAACTATATCTGCGGTGGATCTGTGCATTTTGAAGCATTCCAATATATGGTGCATATGTTCGGCGCATTAAAGATGTCATTATTTTTAGATTGCATCATATTTACAACCGGTTCAATAATGCCGTAGTATTTTGATATAATGCATAGACTCATTATAAAAACGCTTTTACACGTAGCAGTATGTAGCAGAAATGCTTGATTTCTTGTGGATCCATTTCCTTCCATGCTCAGTTTTTCGAGTCCAACAATAATTTCGTTAAAATATTTTGTAAAATCGCGTATACTTGCATATTTTTCTGACCAGCGCGTTTCACAAAATGAGTGAACATTGGGTACATACTGACGACGAATGACCGATTCCTTAAAAAAGTTTATGATGTCATTTATTGTCGAAATGGTGTTGCGAATTTCCGGAACAGAATTTAAATCGTTCAACACCAAAATTTAGCCTGTGACTGGCGCATTGAAAATATAGGCTCTTAGTGAATGTTTTCCTTAAAACATGTTGCACATGTTCCCAATTTCCCAATTACCGCAATAGGCAATAATAGATACCTTCGTCATTTTGTTTTCCTCGTAACGGAAGATCATGCGTACCACAAAATATTATTGTGGAAACAATAGATTTTAAAAATTGTCTATTCTGTTGAATTATTTTTTCATGACCAGTTTGCATTTTGACATCAACTGGCATCTGTTCCAAAAATAATTTTACAGACTCTGCAGCTTCTTTGTGCACATTAGATTCTGCGTGAGACTTGCAGTACTCATGCATATTTTTATACCCTGTACCCGTAGGGTAAAAAGGGTATATTAGGTTTGTGCAAAGTATGTAACATACAGAAGGAAGCATCTCCGACCCCATAAAGTATATATATTCTTGATCAGCATGACGAGAGAAATCGATCTAGACATGTCCGTCCGTCTGTCCGTCTGTCCGTCCGTCCGTCTGGATGAACGCAAGGATCTCAGAAACTATAAAAGCTGAAATAACCAAAGTGGGCATCCAGATTCTCCTAGGTCCGAGTAAGGACGAGTTTATTTTATTTTTTGGAATTTTCCCCCCTTTCCCCCGCTACAGAATTTCGTCAATAGCGTCCACATTTCAAATGCTACCTAAACCAAACTTTGCACACATAATTTATATATAATTGTCTACTGTTGTTCAAAATTTTATTCAATTCGGTCAATTCTAAGAAAAGTTATTAGCAAAACAAATTTTCGACAGTACAACCCCCACAAACTGCAGCAACAAGTTCACTCTTCTTCTTCCTCTTTTTGCTGCTGCTATGGGCGCATATAACTCAGTGACGCAAGTTTACCTGGGTACAGGGTATTACACTGTCGGGCTTGCTCGACTGTAGCGTTCTCTCTTGTTAAACTTTGTGAACGGTCGTATCACGAAAGAAAAAACCACTCCACGTATTTTGTGTGGTTTAAACAAAACGCAATATTTGCAAAAAATTCCTTTCAGTCTGCGTGAATTCAGCAACCAAGGATTATACATTTCAAGCCAATTATAATTAAATTTGCGCTTTAGGTGAGTGGCATCAGCAGCGAAGTCATAATTGGGTGGTGGCACCCAGCAGTTGACAAGTAACTCTCGCTTTTGTGTGGAAGTTATCTCACTAGGTGTTTTAATCCACATCCCTATATCATATAAATTATAGCCATCCTCACAATTCTCAATGGTAGCTGTAGTTGGGGGTGAATGATCAAGTCTTTTTTGGCTGCCATCGGAGTCGCTAGGGCTACGTCTTTTTTTTGATGCTACAACGAGTACAAGCTCTAAACTATGTTACAATGTAAAATATCGCACTTACATGAATTACTAATAAAAAACTTTCTAATATCCATGTTTTTTCTTCTCTTTCTATTAGGCATGTTGGCGCAATATTTGTGGACTGAGAAAATCAGTGATGAGCTATATCAAATAGGTAAGATCGAACGACACACGTAAGGCCACGACGAACGTAAAGAAAAGAAAGAACGACGACTGCTTTTTATACCCTGTACCCAAAGGGTACAAGGGTATATTAGTTTTGTGCGAGTGCACATGGAACACACAGAAGGAGGCTTGGTAGACCCCACAAAGTATATATATTCTTGATCAGCATGACAAGCCGAGTCGATATAGCCATGTCCGTCTGTCCGTCTGTCTGTCTGTATGAACGCAAGGATCTCCGAAAGTATAAGAGCTAGAATAACCAAACTTGGTATCTAGATTTTCCTGAGACCGAGAAAGGACGAGTTTGTTCATTTTTTCTGATCCACCCCCTCCACTCCCCCCCTATTAACGATTTTCTATAACTCCCGTAATTCTTGGAATTTTGAACTAAAATTTGGTAGACACATCCAGTTAGTAATTATATATCCGTATACCAAGTTTCATTATGATAGAATGATCGGAAAGAAAGTTATAGCCATATAACCAGGCCCAATGCACACATACATACATATGTGCAAGTACACAAACACGCATAAGGCACGATTCTGATGGAAATGTAAATGTATGTATGCATGCATGGAATATTTTATATTTAATTAGTTAATATTTAGTTAATTAATTAAATTAATTTAGTTAATTAATTAAATTAAATTAATTAATTAATTTAATTACTTTTTTGTGGGGTGGTACAGGGTATTTAAGAGTTGAGCCTGCTCGACTTTAGCATTCCTTTCTTGTTATAGTTAAGAACACATACGTTTATTCAGGTGAAAGGCTAGCGAAGGACTGACTATGTCAAATGGAATATGGGAACACATCGCGATCTTGTTACATTGGGAATGGAACAATAAGTTTGAATTAACGGCTAGAAGCATTTAACTTGCATATTTCAACAAGGCACACAATTCCTATCGAATAATAACACCCACACAGACCCCCCTAGCACTCCCCCCCTGCGTACGCCCTTGTGTGGACATACCCCATCCACCGCCCTTTAAAATGCGCTTTTCGACGGTGGGCAATTTTAAACAAAACGCTACGTCTGAAGTGCAGACAACTCAACCGGTGACCCATCGTCAACAGTCAAACAAGTGCTACAACTGTCACAGCTTTGGCCATACAGCTGCTGAGTGTCGCAAACCTTTACGTGCAGATGGGGCCTGCGGTGAACTAGGGCATCGAGCCAGAGAATGCAAACTCTACAAAAAACTGAAGAAAACTGAAAAATCAATCAAAACGATTATGTTAAACATTATAATATATTTTTTTATAATATATTTTTTCTAATAAAATGTATTCCATAGAATGCCTCCTAGACTTTGGTAGTCCAATAACGTTCATTAAAGAATCAACTGTCCCTGAAGGATCAAAAATACTGGAAAATAAGTTAAATTAAAATTATGTTGGTATTAATAATTGTAAACTTAACATATCTGGAAAAATATTTTGTGTTATTAAAGTATTAAATAAAAATGTAGAAATTGAAGCAAAAGTTGTTACCGACGAGTCTACGAGGCATGACATGGTACTAGGCAGAGATTTCTTAGAACAAAGTAGTTTTAAATTGGTATCGTTGGACGATATTAGGCCCGTTGCAAACAAAGTTGTGAACAGGTCAAAACAACAAATAGATAAAATACATTTAGAGAAAATTAATGTAAAGAACAACGAAAACAAAGTAGAGTTCAAAGCATTGGTTTCAAAATTGAATAATGAAAATGTAGAGTTAAAAGTAGAACGAAATGTGCATAAAAAGGCAGAGAATGAACTCGATAGTTTTACAAAGGAAATGTACACATATAAATTAGGTGAGCAATTAAGCTATACAATCAAAAACGAATTCGAATGTATCTTCAAAGAATATTATTTAATGGCCAGTAGGCCATCTACACCAAAAACAAAATGTGAAATGAAAATATCACTTGAAAGTGATAAACCATTAAATTGCCCACCCAGAAGATTATCATTTGCAGAAAAAGTAGAGGTACAACAAATTTTAGATAAGAATCTTGCTTTAGGTTTCATACGACCCAGCGAATCAGAATTTGTTTCACCAATAGTCCTAGTTAAAAAAAAAGACTGGTGAGCTTCGCATGTGTGTTGACTATCGCCGTTTGAACAAAGCCACTGTAAAAGACAATTACCCTATTCCTTTGATAGATGATTTGTTGGAAAGGTTAGCAAACAAAAAGTACTTTTCCAAACTAGACCTTAGAAATGGGTTTCATCATGTCTTTATGCACCAGGATGCTATCAAATATACATCTTTTATTACCCCTTTAGGACAATTTGAATATCTGAGAATGCCGTTTGGCTTAAGAAATGCACCATCTACTTTTCAGAGATATATAAACAAAAATTTTTGTGACATGGTTAAAGATAGTAGAGTAATAATTTATCTTGATGACATAATGATAGCGACGGAAGATATATCTACACACTTAGATATTATGAAGGAAGTATTTAAACGAGTAACAGAGAATAAATTAGATCTGCGGCTAGATACATGTGAATTTGTACAATTTTCAGTGAAATATTTGGGCTATACAGTAACAGGTGACGGCATAAGTGCAAACGAAACAGGCATAGATGCCAAAAATTCGTTTCCAGTTCCCAAAAAAGTGCACGAAGTTCAAAGTTTCATTGGGATTTGCTCGTACTTTAGAAGATTTATTAAAGATCTAGCTAAGCCACTATATGATATGACGAGGAAAGATAAAAATTTAAGGGCGGAGAAGTAGAGTTAGATGCATTCAACACTTTAAAGGTAAGCTAGTAGAGACCCCAATCTTAGCCATTTACGACCCTAGAGACGAAACGGAGCTCCACTGCGACGCGAGTTCATTAGGCTACGGGGCCATACTACTTCAAAGAAAAAATGACGGTAAATTCCACCCTATTTTCTATTTTTCTAAACGTACAAAAAATGTGGAGTCAAAATATCACAGCTTCGAATTAGAGACGCTAGCCATTATAAATGCACTTAAAAGATTTCGTATTTACTTACAAGGCATTAAATTCAAAGTAGTAACTGATTGTAATTCTCTAACTTTAACTCTAAACACAAATGAGGTAAATCCTCGCATAGCTTGTCCATCTAGAGCTACAACATTACGATTTCAACCTTAAACACAGGTCTGGGAAGCGTATGCTCCATGTAGACGCACTTAGCAGAAACAATAACATTTTAATAATAGATAATGCCATTCAATGTAATTCATGTTGATCACTACGGTCCTATAAATAGTAAAGATACAAATAAAAAGCATGTACTCCTAATTATAGATGCACAAAGTTCCTTAGATTGTATCCCACAAAGTCGACTAGTTCGAAAGAAGCTATAGAAGCACTTGCCGATTACTTTAAAGCGTATAGTCGACCCAAACACCTTGTTTCTGACAGAGGCTCGTGCTTCACATCCCATGAATTTGAATGATTCCTAGGGTCACACAATTTTGATCACATAAGGATCGCGACAGGGTCGCCCCTAGCCAACGGACAAGTGGAAAGAATAAACAGAGAGTTAGGACCAAAATACAAAATCTAGAGAAAAATGAACCCTGGTACAAAGTGTTAGATAAAGTAGAGTTCGCAATGAATAATACAAAAAATAGAAGCATAAACGAATATCCAAGTGTAATGCTCTTTGGTACAATGCAAAAAGGCAACAGTATAGACAGTTTAAAAGAAAATGTTGTAAACGAAAACCAAGGAGATGTTCAAAGAGATCTAGAGCTTACAAGAAGGAAGGCAGCAATAATTCAGGAAAAAACACAGGAATATAATAAAAGTTATGTTGATTCAAAAAGGCAAAAACCTAGAGTTTTTTCAAAGGGCCATTACGTAATGGTTAAAAATTTTACTTCACAGCCAGGAGTTTCTCACAAACTAGTACCAAAGCGCAAACGGCCGTATGAAATTTCTAAAGTTTTAGAGAATGATCGGTATGTTGTTCAAGACATAGAAGGATTCCAACTAACACAAATTCCCTATTCTGGGATATGGGCCATTCATAACATGAAACCGTGGATTGATAAAACCAATAATAGTATAGAAAATACAAACGTTAATGAAAATGTAATATAAAACACAACCGAAAACCGTGCAATAGAAAATAAAAGCAATGAAACGAAAAACGATGAAAATAATAACAAGGAGAAAAATGTTAAAAATTGTAACAAAAAATATGGTGCAAGTAGTATAGTGACAAGAAGTGTGACTACGAGAACCAGGAGTTCCTCAATGTCAGGATAGCCGAGCTGTAGCAATATAGTTATTACGTAAGACCACTGTATATACATACTGTAGCAATATTGTTAACATCTAAGATCACTGTACATATGCATACATACATTTAAGATTAACTGTAAACATGCTCTCGGTATGTTTTCGAGAGAGCATAGAATAAGAGAGTATAAACGAATAATATAATGCTGGAGTCAGTTTGGATTGAGAGCTGAAGTGAAGCGCACGCGTTAAAGTCCTGACTACAATATATGTATATAAATGTTATGTAATCGAATATGCTTCCTACTTTGCACAAACCCAATATACCCTCTTCAACCTTCGGGTACTGGGTATAAAAAACATATACCTACTCGTAACAAAAGAGAGTGTTTCCACGTCCACTATTTTCAGAGCCACGGAAGTTTGCGAGTATGAGGACTTTTTAAAACATATTGGACAATTGCTTCGCACAAAAAATTGCTAGCGAAATTTATGTTATTGTTCGCCTGCTTGTCCGACGACCATCTAATATTAGCAAGTATTTTGACCACATGGTTTCCACTTTTACGAGTACTATATATGTGAGTGTGTCATTTCCAACATTTTATTTATCGCGCTGGCCATAAAATGCACGCTAGGGCATTTGTAACAATTTTCAGCACACACAACAATGTCCCGAATCGTGTGGACCTGTCTGCACGGTCGCTATTTTTAGTCAAGTTAAAATATTACAACATCATGCTTAAAAGTCACGTTTAAACGTTGGCATTGGCATCAGCGTCGACGGCAGCGTTGAAAGATTATTGCATTTTTAGATCCAAGCAATGCAGAGGGAGGCTGGGTTTTTAACAGCAGCTGGCTGAGGCAGCTCACCTGTGCTGCAAACAATCACAAACCGACGTAGTTCATTTCACTCAGACGACGCCACCCCTGTCTGTGTTCTTTGCGAAATAAGTAATAGTCTTGCAACGTGCCTGCCGCATTTTATTTCCTTTGCGCAACGTGAGGCAGGAAAAACGATAGTTTATGGGGAGGGGGACATAGGACTGAGCGGGCGGAGAAAACCCACCAATGCTGTATAATTTTGCGCTGGAGTGAAAATTGTATATGCTTGATGGCTGATTGAATTGAATTGATGTGAGTGCCTTCTGCCTGAAAGTAGTACACACAGTTGCTCGTTTGGTTTTTGCGGTTACAAAACCAATTTATTTAGTTTTCTGTGTGAATGTGTATGATGTGTGCACATACGAGTATATACATATGCATGTTGTTATTTATTTTAAACTGCTCAGGCACACAACTTAGAAATCATTGAAAGCCAAAAATGATTTTATAAGATGAAGAGCCACAGTTGCACAGTTCTTGTACGCAATGAACACGGGAAGGGCAACTTTGAGATTGATAATTCCAAAATATAAAATATGTAAACTCTTCCTTTCTCAGAACTAGGAGAATCTGGATGCCAACTTTGGATATTCCAGTTCTAATAGTTTTTGAGATCCAGACAGATGGACGGACTTGTCTAGATCGATTCGTCTAGTCTCGCTGATTAAGAATATATGTATATACTTTATGGGGTCGGAGATGATTCCTTCTGCCTGTTACATATTTGCATATTAAAATAATTTAATTAATTAATTTTATAAAATATAAAATATTTAACAGATGCATAAGTGTTTACGTACAATTTTCAACAGCATACATTTACATCAGAATCGTGTTTATGCGTGCTTGTATGCAGTAAAAAAGCAAGAGAGAACGCAACAGTCGAGCAAGCCCGACAGTAAAATACCCTGTACTCTCCACAAAAAGGAAAAATTAAAAAAAAAAAATTTTAAAAAATTAAATTATTAAAAAAAATGAATGAATTAATTAATTAAATTAAATTAGAATACATGTTTATGTTCAGTTTTAACAGCATACATTTATAGTACATCACGTACCTATGCGTGTTTATATGCGTGTATGTATGCAGCACAAAGTTGAACCAAAGCAGCAACAACAACAACAGCTGCGGGCAGCGCTGCCGACAGAGGCAGCGCATGAGCAGCGATTTTACCTTTCTTCAGAATTGACCTATCATGATGAAATTTGGCACACGGACACATTAGTACTAACTGGATGTACCTACGAAAATTGATTTCAAAAT